GATTTTACCCATATTCAATGTATTTTCTAAGTCAAAAAGGGGCATAATTCTGTCAAAAACCTTGACAGAGTTATGTCCTCTTGTCTGTTGATGAAGGTCGTGATGGTAAACAAGTATGGTCAGTTTCAAAGCAATACCTCCAATGGTTTTTGAAATAAAGTGAGGTGGTACAAAAAACTTAACCAAGCTCAATACACTTTCTAAGTCAAAAAAGGGCCATAATTCTGTCAAAAACCTTGACAGAGTTATGTACTCTTGTCTGTAGATGGAGGTTATGATGGTGAACAAGTATGGTAAGTTTCAAAGCCATACTTGTAATACTTCTGAAATAAAGTGGGGTGGTACGAAAAACTTAACCAAGGTGTGACGCCAACGCTAACGCCGACGCCGGGGCGAGTAGGATAGCTCCCCTTTTCATAGAAAAGTCGAGCCCTAACAACTTCAAATATATCTTGGAAATTAACAGTTATTAATTATTAACACCATGTAATCAATTCCTTAACATATCTGATACAATCTTCAAATTAAGCAAATGTGATAAAACCTCTTTAATAAGAGCAGTGCTTGAGGACAGAACTCTAGAATAATCTATATTTATAGAAGAAATTCATTTTAATATTAGATTATCTAACCTTTACTGACTACAAGAATAGGTTACTTTAACCTTAACAGTGCTGAAAGAGTATTGAAGCACCAGCCTATCTGATTTGTAGGAGTGGCATAGCCCATGAGTATAAATCAGTCTATATCCAAGTGTTTTGATGTTCTTTCTCTTTTGTAACACAGGCAAACATAAAAACACATTCCCTGTTGTCACAATATTAAACGCCAGAAAAACAAGAGCTGTCCGTAAGACAGCGCGCTCGACTTTTTTATTGCTTGCCAATAAAAAAAGTTTTTGCAGTAAAAGGCAATACAAGAATCTCTGTATTTTTAAAGTGAACTAGTTGTTTGATACCCTTGAATATTACAGCAATGTTTATATGACATAATTTATGGTAAAGTGAACAAGTGGATAGGAATGAATTTTTTTAGATTTTTTAAGTTTTTTAGTGCTTGCCTATAATACAAAACATTGACAGTTAAGGGCCATAATTCAAATAAAATCTTTGACAGAATTACCTTCTCCTGGACATGTTTGGGAATCATGATTGTAAACAAGTATTCCAACTTTCAAATTAATATCTCAAACAGTTCAGTCAAAAAGTTGGACTGGTACTAAAAACTTAACCAAGATTCTAAGTCGATAAAAGGCCTTAATTTTTAAAACAAATCCTTGACAGAGTTACCTTTCTCTTGCGTACAGATGGGGGTAATGATGTGAAATAGCATTAAAAGTTTCAAAGCAATATCTCAAAGGGTTAAGGCAATAAGTGGATTTTACCCATATTCAATGTATTTTCTAAGTCAAAAAGGGGCATAATTCTGTCAAAAACCTTGACAGAGTTATGTCTCTTGTCTGTTTGATGAAGGTCGTGATGGTAAACAAGTATGGTCAGTTTCAAAGCAATACTCCAATGGTTTTGAAATAAAGTGAGGTGGTACAAAAACTTAACCAAGCTCAATACACTTTCTAAGTCAAAAAGGGCCATAATTCTGTCAAAAACCTTGACAGAGTTATGTACTCTTGTCTGTAGATGGAGGTTATGATGGTGAACAAGTATGGTAAGTTTCAAAGCCATACTTGTAATACTTCTGAAATAAAGTGGGGTGGTACGAAAAACTTAACCAAGGTGTGACGCCAACGCTAACGCCGACGCCGACGCCGGGGCGAGTAGGATAGCTCCCCTTTCCATAGAAAAGTCGAGCTAAAAAAATGAACCAATCATCTGAATATGATTTCTCTATCATTGTCCTTTTCCCCTGTAGTCACAATAAGTAAACCCCAGAAAAATGTAGCCAATCAAGGAGCATGCTCTATGTTTATCCCGGACAAACAGTGCGGTAACTAGAGAGCGGATAACTAATACATGCACTCCAATAACACACTGTGCTTTTAATGTTATATAATAACTCTGACACATTTTCAATAGAAAGGTCACCAAACTATGAAACTATGATACAAGTATAATAAGCTTGCCTTGTTTTGAATTTTGGAAAGTTCATTGCTGTGAAAATTTAATTTTAAATCAGGGTGGTCAGCAACTTAAAGCCAGGTCAGGCTGCACAAATGTGTATGATGACCCGGCTCTAAACTGACTGGCATAAATGACAATATAATCATGTAATTTGATATTGAAATGGAGCTACATGGGCTAGCTATAATAACATTTGCAGAAATTCAGGATGTAAAAAGTCAAAAATTCTGGTGCCATTTCCCTTTCTTATAAAAAAAGATTTAGTGCAAAATGGTCTATGAACTTTAATATCCTACCATTTTACTGGCATAATAACAGCTCACATCTTGAGGTATGGCAAACCAAATAATTGTTATCTCTCCTCTAAAATTACACCACATCAATCAGCTATAATTTATACAGAGTTATATTAGCATTATCCTCTAATAATTACCTTTCTCAAAAGCAATAATAAATGTCTACTTTAGGCATATGTGGGGGAAAAAATGGTAAGCTGGGTTTAAAGGAACCTTTACAAGGGGCAAAAGGATTTAGTGCTAATAGGGGCAAAAGGATTTAGTGCAACTAGGGGCAAAAGGAGGTAAAAAGGATTTAGTGCTACTAGGGGCAAAAGGATTTAGTGCTACTAGGGGCAAAAGGATTTAGTGCAACTAGGGGCAAAAGGAGGTAAAAAGGATTTAGTGCTACTAGGGGCAAAAGGATTTAGTGCTACTAGGGGCAAAAGGATTTAGTGCAACTAGGGGCAAAAGGAGGTAAAAAGGATTTAGTGCTACTAGGGGCAAAAGGATTTAGTGCTACTAGGGGCAAAAGGATTTAGTGCAACTAGGGGCAAAAGGAGGTAAAAAGGATTTAGTGCTACTAGGGGCAAAAGGATTTAGTGCTACTAGGGGCAAAAGGGTTTAGTGCAACTAGGGGCAAAAGGAGGTAAAAAGGATTTAGTGCTACTAGGGGCAAAAGGATTTAGTGCTACTAGGGGCAAAAGGATTTAGTGCTACTAGGGGCAAAAGGATTTAGTGCTACTAGGGGCAAAAGGATTTAGTGCAACTAGGGGCAAAAGGAGGTAAAAAGGATTTAGTGCTACTAGGGGCAAAAGGATTTAGTGCTACTAGGGGCAAAAGGATTTAGTGCAACTAGGGGCAAAAGGAGGTAAAAAGGATTTAGTGCTACTAGGGGCAAAAGGATTTAGTGCTACTAGGGGCAAAAGGATTATGTGCTACTAGGGCAAAAGGAGGTAAAAAGGATTTAGTGCAACTAGGGGCAAAAGGAGGCAAAAGGATTTAGTGCAACTAGGGCAAAAGGAGGTAAAAAGGATTTAGTGCTACTAGGGGCAAAAGGAGGTACTAGGGGCAAAAGGATTTAGTGCTACTAGGGGCAAAAGGAGGCAAAAGGAATTTATGTTAACAGAGGGAAATGGAATTTATGCAAAGAGTTAAAGATAATTAATGCTACCAGGGGCAAATTTTAAGGTCATTAATGTTAATGGAGCTAAATGAAACTATTAATGCAACCACCAAAGGCAAAACAAGGGTCCTCATTTCACCAAAAGGTATAATAGGATACAAGAGCTTAAATCAATTTATGCAACCTGTCAAAAAAACGCTACCAGAAAAATCTATTTCTATGCTCCCAGAGATAAAAGAAAGTTTTGCTATCCTTAGCAGAGGAAATTTATGCTCACAGGGACAAAACCTACACAATGCTACTGAAAGAACAGGAATTTAAATAAGGCTATGATATAAGCAAAAGTGATTTCAATGTCAAATGAACAATAGAAGGAAAATTTTTGCAACCAAGGGCAATTAGTTTCTAATGCCAGTGGCAAAAAGTATCTTTAATGAAATATTGTCCTCCCACAAATCATCTTGTAAGGAACTACACTTAGGTTTTTTGACATGAAGGGACTGGTAATATATTTTCAAGAAAATCTGAATGATTCTCCCAAAGTTTTTTGGTATAGGAGTGTACCAAAACAATTCATTATTCAATGAATGCATTTTTTTAAGTTCTGTAAGATATCATATACAAACTGTATGACAGAAATAAAGCAAAATCTTCCATATGTCTACATTTAACAATTGGCAGTGAATCAATCTTTAAATTGTTCCTATTGAACAAAACCCTCACAATTTTGCTGAAACAATAGCATGCAAATAATAGTGTTTTGCATGTAAATCAAATATATACCAGACATATATTTGAAATGATACAGTGATACAAATAGAGAAGATATATATCAAATACCATAGCAACATATTGATTTAATATATCACCATGGCAATCTCATGAAATGTATTTCTCAAAATTGCTCCACTACATTTAAATGTTTCATCATTATTAAAATTAATTTTGTTACAAAGAATTCCTGATGAAATGTGCATAAAAATATTTCAATAATAATGAAAGCCATGTGCAACTTTTTAAGTTGAGCTTGTTAATTTTCTAACATGTGATTATTCAATACCGAGTTAATGTTATAAAAACAAGAGCATTAAATGATATGAGTACATTTCGTAGTTTTCAAATCATTCTTCCTTTACACACAATTCTAATTATCAGATTAGTGGATACAATAAGAATTTTACCACATTATATTTGTTAATAAAAGAGCACATGCCAATGTTTGTGTTATTCATATGAAAGGACAGAGAGGGGAAACAAAAGTTCAAAGTTTAAAAGGGGCATAACTTCAAAAATGCTATAACATTAATGCCCCTTGTCATGTTTATACAGTGTTTCAAGTTTCGTATTTTTGAAGTGTTGGGAGTTTTGGAGTTTTAAGTGTTGGAGAAATGGGCTACATTATTGCACAACAGCAGATACTTTTCAGCGAAACAGACAAGCTTCATACAAATCATTCATAACTCAATGGAAGATTATCAGACTATCAGGTAAAAATCAAGATTCCAGCTGGAAGTAACCTACCTCCCTATTTTCACTGCAAATTTTACACAACCAGAGTGGCTGACGATTACAGTTCTGTGTATCTACACCACATTTGGTACATACAGCCTGAAATATAGGTCATCAAAAAAGTCTTAAATCAGCAACAAAAATAAAGTGAACAGAACAAAATGAAATAGATCAATATAAAATCATTTGCATTACACGTTTGTTTTTTGTTGTTCAATCACAATGAGCCTGATTGCATTGTCATTTCAAAATCAAACTTTTGATCTCATATATTGTTACATTTAGTTATATGAAACAAAAAATGTTCAAACCAAAAGAAATCTAACCTCATTATAACCAGAACCACAGAAAATGAAAGCCCTTCTTCAAAACTTAAAGAATTATCTCCCCTATGACATAATTTCAAGAGAGTTATCTCACCTTATGACAATCATCACAGTAAGTTGGTGAGGCCCCTAGAAGCCCAAATTCATCCCCACAAAGAACACATTGTGTTGATCCATTTCCCATTGCATTCTTCTTCATGTTATCCAATTTTTCTACCAGTCTCCTGAAAACCAAAATACATTATTGTAATTAAATTATGTAGTTTTTATTTATTTAATTTTCATAAGTTATGTATTAAGTTTCATTGACACTGTACTGTTATATTATTATTGCTACATGGTCACATATGTATGATAAATTATGTCATCACATGGCAAAACATGCGTTTCTAGATTTCAACAGTGCAATTTACAAGCATGCATGATTTTTTGCTACTTCACACTAAGACTTTATTTAGACAAGGCTTACAACTGAGGTCTGAAGTTTGTTAGTTTCTTATTTGATTTTATTAAACACAGACAATGTCTTACAATGACTTTCCAAAATTACTAGTGGAGAAAAACCTCAGTACTGCCCCTTTGTGCATAATTTAATTTTCTGCATAAAAAATTGTTTAAAACTTAAAACCAAAACATTTGTTTTGAACATTTCATACAAACAATAAAAAAATCCTGTAAACACATAGAAATCAAAGCAGAACTATTGTAACTTTCAGACCAAATTTAGTCTTTTCATTGCCAATTTCCCCGGTTGTGAAAAATACAAGCTCCATGTTAGTATTTACCCTATTCGTTCTTGTTCAACCATTTCTAGATAGTCAGCTTTCTGGATAACATTCATAATTTGTTCTTGTTCCTCGGCACTAAGGTGTTGTGATTTCTGGAACGAACTGAACTTGTTTGTGTGAACTGACCACCCTGTTCCCAACCTGAAATAGTTAAAAAAAAAGTTTGAGACTAAGGGAATTAATGCTGGCCTTCAATCAAATAGCCATGTCCAACTTATACGGGCTCAACAGGATGAGGATGATTTTGTTCACATCTTTTTCTGGCCACTTGGATAATACAGTTAAGCTGAGAAGATTGTTATGTCTTTAGACCCTCAATTCACAGAATGGTATATAATTTAAAGATCAATTATTCTTCCTCAATGCATCACTGTTTCTTTAAGTCTCACCGATTCAGTCCCTCATTTTTTGTTACAGTAAATATTTCATTACTTTAATAGTACATCTTTTCAGATAGCTTAACATTTACTAAAAGAAGGCAAGTCACACCATTAAAATGTCATATACTTTTACAGAATCATACATTTTCTGAGAAAATGTAATTTTTCCCTGTGTGTTTAGAATTTCAATTTATTATATTAAGAGTCTCCAGATTTTAATAAAGAAGAATTTCTGAGATGGATTGATACCAAATGCAGCCAATAAAAAAAAGAAAAATAATATCATCAAAGGAGAGAAAAACTAGCCAGGGAAAATATATTTAGACTCAGAATTTTACCTTGAACTTACCAACATTAGTAGGATTTATATACCTTATATCTAACATATCATTTAATAAATGAAAGCCCTGTGAGAAATTAGAAAACTTGATGGAAGGAAAATCCAGCTAAATATCATAAAACAGGTTAATTTTTCAAGGCTTAAAAAAACAACTAAAAAATAGTATTTTGCACATAATACAAACAAAAATTGCTATAACCTTTCATATAACAAGAGCTGCCCACAAGACAGTAAGAAAAGGGGCATAACTCTGTAAAAAGGTAACTCAGAGTTATGGGCCCTGTGTTCATCATGTTAGATAATCACATTGACAGATCATACTATGACCTTTTATTTGAATAACAATAGATTTAACCACAAACACTGTTGTGTATTCTTTTGTTAAGAAATATTTTGGGGTGGAATTCATATTGTAATAAAATTAATATGATGATTTAAACTGAATAGATTTGGATCATATAGGGATCTATGCATTCCCCTCAGTAGGTTTTGAGGTAACCCACATGCACGCAAAACTAAACTACAATGTGACGCAATGCCAACACTCTGAGTGACGTCCTAGTACAATTAAGCTCTCACTATTTCTCAAATAGTCCAGCTAATAAAAAAAATTAGCGCTATGAGAAAAGTAAACTATATGGAAGGACAAACAAGCCACAATAATTATGTTCAGCTTAATATTTCAAACTTTCTATCCATAGTTCATTCACAAACAAATATGTTTCATATGAAAAACTCACTTATTCTACACAAACCACCCCAAAGCAACCAAACCAACTCAACAAAAGTAAAAATTAAATTTCTCACCAATTCTCACATTATAGTAAAATATGCACTCAATATTATTTCTCATCTTGCAATCAAATTTTACAATGGCAAATATATTTTTGCTTTTCCTTAATTAACCCTTATAAGGGATGTCACCTAACTTGATTATGTTTTTTTCTCTCCAGTAACCCCCCCCCCCCCTCAACAATATAAAGCAAACATTACATCAACCTGCTTGCGTTTTACATGGCAATTTAGCAGCCAACTAAAGATTATTCTATTTCCAATTATGTCTTACATTACAAATGTCTTGCGTGCAAAATACAAGTATATGCAGGCAATTATTTCTATAATGATACCTGTAGTCTGATACAAAGATTACTTGTCTTTGGGGATTTTAATTTTACTTTGTTTACCACTTTTTATACCTATCTAATTATCTATTGCCGTTCTTGTAAAAATAATCTTTAGCAAGCTGTAGGCAACAAATTATACCTACAATATGACAAGTGCAGACAAAGATCAGTCAGCACATACATACAGACCGTTTGGACATACAAACTACCCAATATGTGCCCTCTAGTAAACATGGTCTGACTATTCAATCAGTAAAGAAGAGCAAGCTCATATATATATAAAATAATTTTGTTTAAGCACTCAAAACTTCACAAATGCTGTAGATTTTATGTGATGAAACCCAAAATTTAACTGCCTAAATTCAAAACAAACTGTCTCTGAAAAATGTTAATGAGAAACCCTGGATACAGTCATCTCTTACAATATTAAGAAATTTTCAGGACACTAGCTGTGTTACAGAGAGAAGCAGACATATTAATGGATAGTATTACTTCAAACCTTCAGCTATATAGACAGTTATTTTAGTGTCTCATACAAAACAGGACATCTTTATATATTATGTAGAATAAATTGAAGTATATAAGTCACCAAAGGTTATAACAAAATCTAACCAACATACACATACAGAAAAACATTTTACTACCTGATTTATGAATTCAAACATACTACCTAATTTGTGGGCACTCATTTCTCAATTCAAACAATTTTTTTACTGCACCTAATTTGTGAGCACTAATTTGACAATTTAAACATAACTGTTTAACAATTATTTATTTATTCTACAAGGCAAAAGTATAATTTGTCAACGTCCTTACATAACTTTTCTAATTGGAAATATAAATTTGTTCAAATAAGACGTTAAACAATGATGTATGGTGTTATTAAGCAATTTCTGGGAAACATACTCTCTCAAATGTCAGATTTTAATGGACTTGACTAGTAACTTAGTAATTATAAGAGTAAATAATGGCATCTCTAAAGGAAGACAAATCATAAAATAACAGTCTGAAATCATGCTTGTGAAAGATTACACAAAATGCAGATCTGAGGACAGTAAAATAAGTCTTCTTTTTTTTTTTTTTTTTTGGGGGGGGGTGGGGTATGGAAAAATTGGTTAGAGTATGGATTAAAAATTTTATCTAAAAAGATAATTATGGCTATTATAACTGCACATTAAAGTAGCAGAAATACATTTTTAGTAACAATTCAAGTCTGACTTCAAATTGAGTAAAAGAAACAACTTTGTTTTAAGTCCTTAATTTTTTTTTAACTTAATTTAAACCAATTTTTTATTTTTCTAGATAAAGGTAAACAAAAACTGAAAAGTATTTTCATTTTCAAAAGTACAAAATAACAAATTGGTACTTTTCAAAAAGATAATAAACCCCTGGTTTTATTTATGGCAAAATGTGATCGTATCTAAAAAGTACAATGTATGCAAAAAATTCAAATTGACGAATATTTCTTAAAATTTGCCAAAATTTCAGAAAATTTAACCAAAATGTAAGCCATTAAAACAATTTTAATGCGAGCATACAAGATTTATCTTCATCTTTTGATAAAATTAGTTCTTGCAGGGGCTCAATTTCTCCATATTACTTCTAACAATAATGCTATATTTTGTATAGAAAAGCAATTTTCAGAAGACAGGGAACATCAGATTGCAGTCTGCAGAAGCAAATATTGTAATAATACAATTATAACAGATATATTCCTCCAAGAAAATACAATGTTTTATACGGCGTTTAATAAAGATGAAAACATATTTTCTTATAAGCTGATGTGTGGGATATAATGTCTCTAAAAACATGTCAAGAAATAACTGCTAGCAGCATTATATCACACCACTTCTACCATGTATATATATATCCAGTAGTAACGCAGGGGTGTGCAAGTAACATATTATGAATTGTGCAAAAGTGTGGCAGAATTGTGCAATTCTTTAATTTAGGTTGTAATGAGCACCACGGTAAATAAAAACAATAATAAATTTTATAGTAACTCAATTGAAAGAAATGCACGAATGCATACCATTGCTTAAACATCATTAAAAATATTTCCAGAAAAGTGTTTGTTTTACAAGAATAGTGACCTGAGGCTAGCATATTGCAGAAGACTTAGACGTATAATGTATTTCATGGATATTTATTAATGTATTATACTCAATTATTGTTTTTGATATTTGGTCACTAATACCTGAGAGATTTTCCAAACTTCTTGTGTCAATTATTACATTGCATGTTCGTTAAAGTGCAAGGCCAAAGCAGCCATAAGCCCTTATTCATTTCTTTTAATCTGATCAACTATGAAATATTTTGGTTTGTTTTAACCCTGTAAAAAATTGTTTCTGCCATAGCTTTGCACAGATTCGGCGTAATTGTTGCACAATTTCTGTGGTATTTTCATATTCCTGAATATTTTAGTTGATCCACCTTACTGCATGGCTTTTCTGGATAACTAACAAGTAATTACCAGTTTCACAGCAAGTGACCAACTTCTTATCCAACATGATTTGAGCCGCGTCACGACAAAACCAACATAGTGCGTTTGCAATCAGCATGGATCCAGACCAGCCTGCGCATCCGCGCAGTCTGATCAGGATCCATGCTGTTCGCCATCAGTTTCTCTACTTGTAATAGGGTTGGTAATTGAACAGCATGGATCCTGATCAGACTGCGCGGATGCGCAGGCTGGTCTGGATCCATGCTGGTTGCAAACCCATTATAATGGTTTTGTTGTGAAGTGGCTCATTTCTGGATCAGTTGTGAGTCTGACACATGACCATAAGACGCAATGTCAGAGATAAATTGTCAAAGAGAAGTTACGCCTAGCCCGAGGATCAACCATTGACCTCTTGATTATAAATTAAATGCTCTCCATATTAAGTAATGGTAAGCTGACCGACACTGTGTCTTAAATCACAAAGACCAACTATTACAATATTTGGCCTAATAATCATAATACACCAACCAATTTACATAATGTTACCTCCAGGGAGAGAAAAATGAATATATAACCATATTTGGAGAAATTTATTTATACTTTAATTGTCTTCATAAAAGCAAAACTGAGCAAAGGATTATTTCTTATAAAGAAATGTTTTTGTACATTTATTTTTCTTAATAAAACAGGGTATGAAGAACGATGCTATTTGTGAGGATGGCACCACATAGTATTATTATCATGTCAGATACTAATGTAACAATTCCAATTTTCTAGCTACCAGGTTTAATATATTAAAGAGTATTACAATTACACTATTTTATTACCCTGTTTATTTGAATATAAAACAGCAAATTAGCCACAAAAACATCACATTTCAGTGAAAACATTTATAACTAAGCAGAAAGCAGCTTGCCAGTTCCAACCTGAACAATTATCACAGTTGTCCAGTAAACATTGAAGTGTTTAACAACATAGAAACTGATCATTTTTCCCCTCAATAATTTCTTTAATACAGACAATGAGAGTTATTAATCTACCAAATAGCTGTATTGTCTAATATAATATGTTAAAACAGACATCAATTTGGCGGGAGCTGCAGTCGATTTATGGCAAGATCAATAGCGAAAGAGTGGAGCCGTTTTAGACGTAATAGATTGAGATGCAAAAGATATAATAACGTGAAAAGGATGAACTTTTTTTGTTCAAGAGGAGATTTAATGACATTCAAAATCAATTACAAAAGCTGGGAAAAGCAGTTGCACTGTCACACTTCGTTTCCAAGGGAAGATTAAATCATTAATTCTGTTTTCTTTGGCTGTAATTTTCTGCAAGTGAAAACACTAAATTTGCATCTTTAATTTAAGAGCACCGATGGGTGCTTCCTCATATCATCTTGCAATGGTAATTAAAAATTTCATCCTCCTTATGACAGAAAATAGAAACAATTATTTGAGACTCAGTGGCCTTGACCCTATATCACCCTGATTCCAGATCCCAAGGTAGAGGTTCACAGAAGTTACACCCTCAAAAAGTAACAAGTATCTCATACCATACCACAATGACTTTGACATCATACTTTGGAAATACCACAAGCAGAAATAGTAAAGAAAGCGCTGGCGTTAAATGTTTAAAATCACGCAAGTTCTTGATTTCTTTATCAAATATGATCATATAAAGCAGAGGCTACTAAAAAGGTGTATCATAAGTTCATGGCAATGATGTTCTTGATAGATTGACAATTTTGGCCTGAAAAAGGGAAAACTATTTTCCCCTATATTTTTTTTCTTACTGTACAAACACAAATAAATACAAAAAGATAAAAAAAAGATTAAGAACTGATCTGAATCGAGCTTTTTATTTACTACTTCTGCTTGCCGTATTGCCAAAAATGATATTTAAGTCATGTAGCATGGACATGGAAAATTACATGTACATCAATCAAGAACCTTAATAAAGATACTATGAGAACTGTGATTATTGTGGTGGCTGACAGACTGGAAAAAACAACAACTGGAAATATCTTCACCGAAAATATTTCTAGCACTGCATATTAAATTTAAGGCTGGTTGCTTCTGAATGATAAATGAAGCAACAGTACAATAACAAGACAGTGTATGACATTTATTGTTAAAGGAATGATATATTATCTCTCAAAATCAATTACAGGAAACAAACAAAAACTGTAACATTGTTATCTTTACTATTCCAAAGGAAACATTTATTAACAGCATTTCTGACAAACACAGTTTTAGGATGAACAAATACTGAACCACATTTATTTAATTTCAGTTTGGAAATTTCTTAAAACAGATAAAATGGAAACCTTAAAGAAGCATCAAAAAGAATAATATAAGAAAGGAAAACAGAAAGAGGGGTATGGTTTTAGGAATGCTTTAAACATATAAAAAGAATTGATGCATCTAACAGAAACACAGCATACTGCTTTACATACAAAACAGAAGACATTATGATTCTATGTGCCTAACAAAGAATGCCTATATGAATCATAGGTAATGTGGGCAAAAACGATAATCTTCATAATTAAAAAAAAAAATGTTCTTAGTTTATACTACTTTATTTTAGCTTGATTGTATTGGAAGCTATAAGCTTATTAAAACACTCTCTTATCCATTCCTGTAACTAGCCAGTACTAAGCAATGAGTGCAAAAATTTCTTGTTCACCTTGACAATGGCTTGCCCTTGACAGGGTTTGAACCCACAAGGTCAGCAAGCCTTGAATTACTAGTCTGACATGGAAAATTTAAGCAATGGGACTTGTCTTGATTTGAAATGAATTTAAAACCGTTTTGAAAGCAAACTTTAAACATCACAAAATTAAAAAGTTTCAAGTCTAGCAGATAACATTTACTTAGTATGGCCATTACTATGTAATGCAACCTTTCCTGGGCTACTGGAAAACTTGCCCAACATTTTGATAAGAAAAATCTGACAAAGTTAAAATTTCTGATACTGAATTTAGTTATAAAGCTGTCATTAACAGAATCATAATATTTCATAAATCATGCCTGATCAACCACCTATCAAACAAATAGGGTGTCTGTTTGAAATTTGCCTCAAATGTCAAATGATCTGAATCAGATGGTCTTGCTAACTTTTTGTGAAGCCATTCAATACAAGAGATAGCAAGCCTTGTAGTTGATCATAGATTGTAGAAACCTTGGTTAGGCACTAAAACCGGCGGCATAATTATGTAAAAGTTACTTACTTAGCTCTGAGAGCCAGTTGTCTATCATTTGGACAGACCCAACGATCCATGCCACTATCTGTTGATATTTCCCCCATATGGTGCCCACACTCTCATAAAGTGTTCTTTACTTGTGAAGCAGTTGTTCAATATTTTGTGTATCACTTTCTGAAATGATAAAACAGTTCATAACCTACAGAAAGAGAAAAAAATACTGTTTCACTGAATCAGTAAGTTATAACATTTCAATAAAATTCTGTAATAAATTGTGTAACTTTATTGAAATAAGGGTTAAATTTAAACAGCAATCAGATGTTATGTTCACACAATACTCCCCATAATGATTGTCAAGTTCACGCAGGTAAAGATTATTTAGAAATTTGATAAGGACTATTTCATTAACAAAACATGCATGTTTTCAATTATTGAACACTAGACAGAAAGCAAGGGTCACAACTGCAGCATTCACAAGTTATTAAGCAAAAATTGAAATACTATAATGGATAAATATAGAGTTGAAATGTCATAAATTATAATGAAATATAATTCTATAATTATGTGTTTAAGTGAAATAATCATTAAATAATTAAATGATCAAAAAGTTTTGTTTGAAAAAATAGTGGACAATTCAATATGACAAATATGCACTGTAGATGACAGTCATCATAAAAACCTTAATGCTTAAAAGACATGGTTATTTAAAATCTATACATTGTACCAGGTCAACTAAAAATACATTAGATTTAAGCAAGTAATGATACTTTTCATTACACATTTTCACATTGTTAAATGATTCATAAAATATCAGAAAAAAAATTTAACACATAAATATTACAGAAATAATTAACCCTCATTCTTATATTTTAAACTGAGAGAAATAATTGATATATAAACACCTGAATTGGCTTCAAACCATGACTCCAATAAATAAACAAAAGTCATAAATAGAAAATAAATACTGAATTCTTAGGTAAATATATAGTTTTAATTAACAATGTGATCAAATTTATATGTTTATTCAAAAATGTCATGAAAATTTAATGATGATTAAAACTTGGTTTTGCAAGAACATTAGAAACATTAAGAAAGTTTATATAACTGAACTAAATAACCCATTGAATGATCTGTACAAAGGGGGCACCTAAATCCTACCATGCTGTAATATACTATAAAATCCCCAACTGCATTTAATGTAATGAAAAACCTGTCTTGCATAAGAGTGACTTTGCTGAATGTATAATTGCAAACACTGAGACATAGCAAACATATTTTGATGTTTAAAAATGTAAATTTTTGTAGTCAAAGGTAACTTTTTCAACCTCAATGCACATCATTTTACTCAGGTTTATATCATTACCATAATTATATTCACTTACCTTAGTTAAAAATCAGTCCTGAATATAAAGAGCAGACTGATATTTCATTTTTGTATGAACAACTGTTTTTCTTATCATAATTTTCATTATTATTATGAATTCACTTTTATCCTGTTATAGTGGCAACAGATTCGAACCATGCGACTATACAAACATTTTGTTGTTTTGTTGAATTTTTTATTAAGATGATAATTATGGCAACTCTCCAGTTTGGAAGAAGACTGAGTCAGATGCCCCTTTTGTGCCTAATTTTATAAAAGAGCAAGCATCTGAGTAGAATCACAGATCATACGAACTGAGCTAGCTCACATGAAAAGAATCCAAAGTCCCCGATATTTAGATTCAAACCCAGAGGGGTGAGGGGCCAGTGAACTTGAACCACTAAATGATGAAGGCAGCTCAGTTGGCACAAGGTATTGAATGGGAAGGGTTTATTGATTATTTATAAGGCAGAGATGAAATTACAATTGCAGATAACTAAAATGTTCATTTTTTATTTTAAAAAAAACACTACTTCTTTTCAATCATTTACTCCATAAATCATAGTGAGGCTTTCAAATAAAGGATATTTTTAATACATTAAGTTCATATCTAAATATTTTATATGCATGTACTAGCATGTAATTATAAATTGATATGGTATGTTCTCCATGATAGACTGGATTTTGATTTCTTTAAAACCTATATATTAGACAGCACATGTCTTCATATTATAAGAAGAAACGCTTAGTAAACAAATATAATGTTAATCAGCAAGACAGAGTACAATCTAAATAACTTTTCACCAGTTGGTTGAAAATTTCAGAAAAAATCACAAAAACAACCTACACAAAAGTTCTATTTATAAAATCATCTTTTACATTACAGACTGTTATGTTTAATTATTACTTTCATTCTAAGAAGAGAATTTCCTTTTTCGAAACGAAAATTATCTTTATAAGAAGTTTCAAACCCATTATTATGCAGAATTAGCTATAGATAACAAATTATACTATATTAATCTCAAAAACCATAAATTTACTAAAAACAATGACCACAATGATAAAGATCAATTTTAGTATACACTAACCTTTCAAAGAGATGATTTCTTGTTGTGATCCTACGTGCTGTTTTTAACCATTTCTCTCTCATCACACACTCCTAGCTTATAATTAACATCATCCTAAATATCGGTACTTCTTGTGAAATAAAACACTGTCGTATAACAGACAGCATTCAGGTCTCTTACACTGCTATCACAGACACCAGTAGATGCTGCTAAATATAACACTGCAACTGGAGGAAGTTAACGTTTCCCAATGTTACTATCACAGCAACTCTAGGAAGTTTTACGTTTCCCCCGATGTTACTATTTTAACATCAGCTAGGAGACATCTAAACAGACAATCCCTTTAAATTTTAGTTGTCCATCAGCTTGTTTATTACTTTACAGGAATCATCAGAGATGTGGTGTGGATGTGGAAGTTGTGAGGATGAAATCTTTACATGACACAGTCTGAAAATATTACAATAGTTGAACATCTTCGGAGAATCTTTTAATATCATATACTGATATCACATATCTATCTTACAGACTTATAACATACATGCTATGTACATAATGACTGTTCAATTCATATTTTATAACATAAAATTTTAACAATTAAAAAATAATTAGCAAATATTGGAAACATCAATAATTTATTTATCCGTTTTTACCTCAAAATTGCCAATATCACAATTTCTAACTACTATTTCTCACTTCCCACATTATACAGTTGATTTCTCACTTGTTTTCTTATACAAAAAAATGTAAGCAACACTTTCATTATCTCATTCATTGAAACTCATATAATATTCTGATATCAAGTTTACTTTCTAATATATTTTTGTAGACCTTATAACATGTAATAGAAAGTATCAGAAACAAGGACACTAGCCAGTTTCAGATTTCATATAGCTGTTTGTAAATCCTCTATGATACACCAGACAAAATCCATTATTCTCCATATTTGTTTTATTTTTTTTTTCATACTATTTATTGATTCATCTAATGGACCATACTGTATCATAGCCTTACTAGAAAGTAAATATCAATTATCTATCAGCTGTTTTTCCAGACTACATTGAGGACATTGTACATGTTTTGCCAGACTCCATTCTGATGAGCTGTCCTAACAGACTCCACATTGAAGAGTTGTCTTTACAGACTCCACATTGGAGAGGTGTCTTAACAGACTCCACATTGGAGAGGTGTCTTAACAGACTCCACATTGGAGATTTGTCTTTACAGACTCCACATTGGAGAGGTGTCTTAACAGACTCCACATTGGAATGTTGTCATAACAGTTGACTCTACAATGAAGAGTTATGTTCGAATAGACTTTGTATTGAAGTAGACTCCTCATGAAAAAGCTCCACATTGAAGACCTATCCTATAAGGCACTACACCACAGTTGTTCTTACAAACACCACATTGAAAGTTGTTCTCTCACATTCTACACTGGGGAATTGTCCAAATCTCCAAATGTAGAGCTTTCCTTACAGACCTCACATTGAAGAGTTGTATTTATAGTCTCCTCATTAAAGAATTGTCCTAACAGACTCCACAATGAAAAGCTGCCCAAACAGTTCAAATGCAACAATTTGTCAACAAAACTCCAAAATGAAAAGCTGTTCAAACAGTTCACCATGAACAATTTTCCAAACAGACTACACAATGAAGAACTGTCTTTACTGACTTTACACAGAAAAGCTGTCCTTCCAGACTCCACAATGAAGAGCTGTCCTTCCAGACTCCACATGGAAAAGCTGTCCTTCCAGACTCCACAATGAAGATCTGTCTTAACAGACTCCACAATGAAAACCTGTCTATGCAGACTCTACATTGAAGATTTGGCCTTTACAGACTCCACATTGAAGAAATGCCTGAACAGTTTACATTGAACAATTATCCAAATTAATTAAGTCAAACCAAAAAGCTATGCTGACAAAATAACTGCAAAGAGCTATGATAACAAGTTTCATATTTAAGAGCTGTGCTGTCCTTTAAAGAGATCAACATTAAAGAGCTGCATGATTCAGCCGGACACTACACTGTAGAGATGTACTGTAGAGCTGTCATATGAGATTCCAAGTTGACTGAGTGACTTCCATTAAAGACTTCTGTTTACAGACTACACATTAAGAACTGTCCAATTAAACTCATTATTAAGCTGTCTAAAAAGATTTTGCCAAACTGAAGAACTGTTCTTACAAAGCCCACATTTAAGAGCTGTCCTAGTTTACAGACTTGGCATTGATGAGCTGATTTCGTAATGTTAACAGCTGTCCTTACAGACTTGCTAAAACTCTGACTCAACATTAATGACTGTGCTATTAGACTTGAAATAGCTGTACTTTAAACAGACTCAAAATGATACAGTAAGCTAATACAATGACTTCACATTAAAGAGCTGACTCCTAAGAAATGGTGCAAAGTTTATTTGTTTCAATTTTATGTCCCAAGACACAGTATAGGTCATATAATGCCGACATTCCAGCTTTACTGGTGGAGGAAGACCTCAGGTGCCTTTCTATGCATTATTTCAGGCATAAACTGGCACCTGAGTAGAACTACCGACATTCCGTAAGCTAGCTGGATAGCTTCCACACATGAAAGAATCCAAAGTCACTCTCTGTATTCGAACCCACAAAAGTGAGGCATTTAAAAGCCGTAAACTTATTAACAAACTCCAGATTAAACAGCTTTCTTTGCAAATTTCACATACAAGAGCTGTCCTAACCTTAAGAGAAACCACATTTAAGACCTTACAAACTTAAGATTTAAGAGATGTCTTCATAGACTCTACAATAAAGTACTGTAATTAACAGACTCTACACTAGATCATTATGATCTGTCCTAAGAGCATATTTTAGAGCTTACTTTTTCTGTTTCCAATGCTTTCGTGGCATTCATACTTAATAAAGAGTTGTTCTTATAAATCAACATTGAAGAGCTAATGTCAGTGCTACCAGAGTACATGCATGAGTCAGTTTTAACCTTTTTCACAGTAAAGACTTTCTGTAAACATTTCTATAAATGATAAGCAAAAATTATCACATTCTATAAGTTTTATATTATAACAAAGTTCAGCACAAAACAATGACACCATGTTACTTTTGGAAAGTGAACTTACAAAATAATATACAGAGTGAATAATGTGTACATATTATCAACTTTGCTAAAATTACACAAATAACATGTTTTTGTGAAATAATCTTAACACCTGAGACATGGCCATTGCTTTGTGAGTCATATTATAGATGATTATATATAAAATATATAATCTGAATAAGAGGGCCATGATGGCCTTAATAGTGCTCGCCTGATTATTAATTAGGCCCTTAATGGAACAATTAATAGTGTTAAACTATGGATAAAAAGCAGGTATAATATCTTAATCATAAACTAATACAGTATCATAATATTCATACCAGCATCTGAAATAGTGCCAAATTTTTTTTAATGTTAAAAAACTTTTTCAATATTTGGGCTCTGTCATCCAGTTTTTGATACCAGATGTTCCATTACCTTAAACCATCAAAAGAACCAGTTTCTGACCAATGTCCAAACAGTAGCCTCCAGATTGTTCATAACAAGGTTTTTCCATGACGAAATTCAATATAATTTCCAAACTTAGAATGTCAATACTATTTAAAAGCCGTTTCTTGAACTCCTTTTTTTATTAGGCTTGCTTGAACCCTGAATTTACTTTTCAGAGGTCAGTGAGAAAATAATAACAAAGCATGCAATTTATACATTCTTTTAGTATGTTGTATATTTTATGAGTAAAGCAAGCATGCTTAACACCATGATGACAGTTTAAAACATTTTTCAATCAATTAAAGCCCTACACAGACCTAGGCTTGATTTGGACACTATTATTTTGCTGTAGTCTCCATGCACTGTTAATGTCCAGTTTCGGTGCTTGCCAAACCCTTGGAACCACAGTTACTGCAAGGGATTGACTAGGGTTAGTTTGGGACATCACTATATTCTAACTATTGTAAGTTTTCTTGATGTCTAATATCAAACTAAAGTGACCTAAGTTGGCTCCAAAACCCTGCCCTTAAATGCTACCACAGTGTTTTTATAGCTAAGATCTATGCTGTTCACTGTCTAACTGAAGCTAATTGGCTATTTTGATATCCATGGGATGTTTAAAAGACAACTAGTCTACTGCTGTTGGATATTTTGATATCCATAAAATGTTTGAAAGGGCAAGTCCATTAAACAAATTCAGCAAGGAATGTGTTAAACATTACCATGCTGGACCTAATAGTGTTAAGGTACCAACTCAGTATTTACATAATTATAAGAGTCAGGCAAGTTGCACATCCGAAAGACTGACCAGGCTCCGTACTGTTGACTGACCATGCAGCTTCCAAAAAATTTATTATGGACAGCTTTAAAATATTGAAGTTGACCAAGTACATTTATGAAATTCAGCAGGGAATCATGGTTAAATCAAAGGGCTGCAAGCTCTGTGGTATTTTCTGATCTTTGCAATCTAAATCATACTGACTATCTGTATATATTTTCCTATATAGGTTTATTTTATATACTATAATTCATCTTACGCAGCGACTGCGTTAAGATTTTTTTCTATAACAGTTTGAGATTGATACATATGGAATTTTGCATGACTAGAGTTGCATCAAAAATCATTTTTTTATGACAGACCACACTTTATCCTTGCATATCGTGGCTACTTCCTTAAAAAAGACACTTCAAAAAAAAAGTTGCCTCGACTAGGAATTTGAACCTTAGGCCTCTCACACCCTAAACGAGCGCGATACGAGCGCGATACCCCTGCACCACGGTGAAGTAATACGTAATATGTAGCCTGAATAAAAAACAAATACATTGTAATTCTAAATTGAGAATTTCCATTTCGTGTTTGTAATCCTTATCAATCGAGGTATTTTGTTCACGATAAACCTGTTTAACACTGATATAACACTAAATAATTTTGCGAAAATCTTCTCGACAAAACAGTCCGACATGTATATATATTCCACTACTCGGCAGTCAGATTTATTTGTATACTACGCCCTGGAGTATTCAGTAATCGACATAGCTAAAAATAGCATTTTCATTGATTAAAATGATATTCATCCGCGAAATTTGTGATTGTAACCTCATATTTCTATTGACTAATCTGAACTTTCAATGCAATGTAATTCGTTAAATGCCTACATTAAAAATTATTCTGTCTTTTAAATTGCTGGTTTTTAAGCAGTTTTGAGTGAGAACTACTTTGCGTTGTTAGGTCTGTTAGGAAATTTTGTGTTAGACCGTGGATGTTAGCTATGTATTTACTGATCTTGCGATCAGAAAATACAAAAAGATGTATTATGTTCAAACATTCATGCTGATATCCCTGTCTATGACAATGTACAAAATTGATTTTTGTTTTAACATTGATATTATCAACACAATGTTTTTATTAATTCCTCTGAATGG